GTCGCTGGAGCTCTCTGTCACTCGCTGCGAGTCGGGCTTATGGTCCGCGCTTCAGGCTTCCGGGCCCCGTAAGTAGTTTTCACTCGGCACGCCTTAGCTCTTCAGTCCAGGCTTTTGAGAGCCAAAGTTCTCCTGAGGTACAACTTTGGTAAGGTGGGAGTGCGATTGGGCGTTCTCTGGGTGGGTGGGTGGGTGACAGAGAGCGCGTGGGATGGACTGCATCTCAGACGCTACTCCCTAGGCTTCGCCGAACGTGTGGCCCAGTGGGGTATGATGGCCAAAGTAGCTGTAGCTTGTCTGAGGAAAAGGCTTGTGTCCCCAAGTTCAAATTCAGTTTTGCTCACTGAGACCTTGAACAAGCCTAGCCAGGCAAATTTCATAGAATCACTTTGGTTGGAAAAGACCTTTGAGATCATCGAGTCCAACCTTTAACCTAACCCTGCCATCCCACCACTAAACCATGTCCCTAAGCACCTCATCTATCCTTCTTTTAAATACCTCCAGGGAGGAGGACTCTACCACCTCCCTGGGCAGCCCATTCCAGAGCCTGACAACCCTTTCGGTGAAGAAGAAATTTGGTTAAAAAGGGTAGTGCTCTAATTTTATCCACCTAAGCAACCTGTCCCAAGTAAGCCAGCTTGCCCTAAATAATGTGTGCGACTGCCTGGCAGCCTTGTGGAAAAGTAAAGCAACATGTGGAATCCTCCAGACTGAGCAGAAAATGTTTGTAGTAGTCTTGTAAATTCCTTCCTAAGAAAACTGGTCTGGAAACGTTTCTGTTCTTCCAAATATGGGTTGACACACCATTAAAGTTGGCAGCAGGCTGATATCCTTTGTTATCAGTTGATAGCAGCACTGAAAATACATCAGTTTAAAACAAAAAATGCTTGAATCTGCTCCACGTACGTCTGTTGGTTTGGTCTGTTTCCTTTCACTTTGCCACCCTTCCCTGACCTGCATCGCAGTATTTTGTTCCTTTAGAATGTTTATCATAATATAGCTCAGATTTACTGTCAACATTTATATGCATGATCACGATCCAGGCTTTAAAACAGCATCTTCAAGGTCAGGTTGGTTAAATTGTTAGGGAAGATTATTACTGCCCAATGTATCAGTTTACTATTGCATTACTTTTGTAAGTAACCTTTAGATTTTCAGATGCCCTGGAAAGCTGCTTTACATAGCTGCTTGGGTTGGCAACTAATTTTCAGTGATCATATGAATAAATATGTCTTTACTTTTTGTCTGTTAAGAAGGTTATCTTATTCACGTAACTTTGGAGTATGTTGTCAGATTGATTATATAGTTAGAACTTAAACTGAGATGGTCTGCAAATATTTATTGTTCTCCTACTTGATTTTCTGTAGTCTTGTATCAGATTAGTTTTCTGGTAGCAACATGCACAGATTGCGTATTAGGGGGATGCATCTGAAGTTTTGCTTAGAGCATATTACTGCTCATATACACCAATACATTTTAAAAATTTATTTAGGTAGATGTTTGTATATACAGTATTGCAGTTATGCTTAAGTGACTTTAAAATAGGAAGCTAGACTGAAATAAGCCTGTCTCTTATTTCATGGAGTCCTCTCTGACTTAATTACACAATAAATTACTGTCATTGTAATACAGGTTAGAAATGCTTTTAGTCAGCTCTGCTATTCAAGGCAATGGGGAAGAGAGGGAAGGGCAGGGGGGGGATCTCAAGTAAGCAAAAACCCAACATGAGAAGTATTGCAGATTGTGGCTTCACACAAGCAGCTTCGGTCCAGTACTGCATCTGAGGAAGAAAAACGTCTCTCAATGTCATGTGGTTGAGAAAGCAGAGCAGAGATACCGGAGCTGTTCTGCAGAAGCCAGATTGTTCCTGGCAGTGCTCTGTTTAAGCCAGCATTGACTCTGCTGATCCTCCTGGCTCTGGGTTCAGTGGCTCAGGCTGTTGTCTGCATGAAAAGAGATGTTATGCCAAGCAGTCCTGGAAGCAAACAGAGCTGTGTTGGTGCATAGCTGCTTGTGAGCTAACAGGATTTTGGAGTCTGCTTGGCTCTGCTGAGAGTTAGTTTTACAAGGTCCGAACTGTAACACCGCTCACAACCTGCTCGTGACTATGCAGAAGTGTACTGTGCTGTTGTTTGAATAATTGTCCTGCTTTTGTTAATGTGATTTGTCCACCCTTAGTCATTGCTGTATAGAAACCTTATTTTGTATTCCAGAGCACAAAAACGATCGGTTCTCATTACTTGTGTTGCATAAATGGATAGGTGTGAGCGGGAGGAATAAGGAATCTTATTAAGCTCTAATACGCTCTTTTTCTGTGATGTAAGGGAAAGATTGTGAAAACTCTGACAGCTTTTTTTGTTTGTTTTTAGGTGTATGCGGTGATGAATTTAGTGTCTTACGATCACCTCAATCAGTTGTTTTTCGAGACGGAAGCTGGCCCATTCCTGGCGAGCGGATCCCAGATGTAGCTGCATTATCCATGGGCTTTTCTGTTGAAGATGTATGTTTCGGGTCTTGATTTTGAAACACCCCTAGAACAACAGAGCTGCTCGCTTAACATGCAAATCTTCCTGTCATGTGCTGGAATATATAAAATATCATCCTGTTTGTCTTGAGGAATGCATGACTTATCAAAGTGTGGTTTCCAAGCATAGAGCTATGTCAGTCATATGAGCAGCAAAAGGGTGTGCTAGCTGGCTAATTTGAATCATCAGCTACAGAAGGAAACAAGCCTGCGGAGTCTTTATTGTGATGTTCTTCAGTTCCTCAGAGATGCAACTACACGCTGTATCTACCCCATCCGTAGTCACATACTGAGAATCTATGGAAACCACTGTCACTTCTTGCCTATGAGCTATATCTATAGGGCTCTGCTTTTGGGTACTCTGAAGACTGTGAGAAATGGCTTGGCTAGGCAGGCATTTTGTCAGGTCAGGGAGCTTGTCTGCTGAGCACAGTTATTAAGAACAAATAAACCGAGTAGTTAGGAAGTAATCCAAAGACTTGAAAACCTAATTTGAGGTAGTGTTTCCCAAATGAGGTTTTTGAACATGGCCTTAGTGATGTTTAAAGTGGGGCACATAAGTAGGAGCCCTTGGATTGATTCCATCTTGCCTCCTGAATTTTTTGCTGGGCTTCAGCAGGGATGAGTAGGAAACAGGAAAGCTTAGTAGCCAGGTGTCTCTAGCAGTGTCTGTGTGCGGCCAGATACTCAAAGCTACAAGCTGGGATATTCACACAATGCTCCCATACTGTAGCTAAGCAAAAGGTCCAGTAAGTCTGGTTTGAATGCAGGTCTGTTTAGCCTGTGTGGAATTTGCCTGAAAATATCTTGCTGTCAATTAATTATGCTTTTTTTGTCATTAAACTAGTAACAGAAGTTCTCATGAATAGTATTCCCATTTTGATTATTTTATCAAGAAAAAAACAATACAGATGGTATTGTGTGCATTGTATGTAAAGGTGCACAGCAAAACAGTGGGGTTTGGCCCATCTTGAACACTTGACTTTTGGCATCCTGGTCATTTGGAGGTACAACATGGTTATCGTGGAAAAAGTGTTTCAGTACTCGCTCTGTGCCTTTGCTAAAGTTTGGAATTAATTTGCTGTAGTGGGTCCATAGCCTCCTTTAGAAATAGTTCTCTATTAGTAGTATTTCAAACTCTGGAAGTGGGCAGGGAAGGAAGTGTTTTAAATTACTGTGTTCAGTTAAGCCCTGAAACTGAAAGTATCAGCATTGTCACAAGGCAGAGGTCAGCATGTAGGCAGCTTCCAGCCCTGGTATGGAGAATACCGCGGGGCCCAAGCACTCATTTTGCAGTTTACATCAAGGCTGTAGTCTAGGAACACAAACTGACAGTGCAGTAGATGCATTGTAGAGAATTTCGAATTCTTACTGCATTACATTGGGGATTCTCAAAAACAGTCATTCAGTATTCCTCCCTTGTTAAGGCAAGATAAAACCGACCCCCCTTTTTGTCCCTGATGATGCTCTAAAAGGTTTTGTTTCTTTGAGGAGATACAGATCATAATGCCAATGAAATTTAATTCTAAAATCCAAATAAATTGATTTCATAAAACTTAAGCAGTTCTGTCTTTTACACAAATGGAAAGACCTGTTTGAATTCTTTCCAAATAGATGAATTTGTATTTTGTGCCTGAATAAACCGGCCAGGTAGTCTTCACTGTGCTCTTAATGATACATAACTGTAGTAAGCCACTAAGGAATCTCTTTACAGATTTGCACAGAAACATAAGTTTTACATTAATAGGCTGTTGGTATGATTGATGCTCCCCCCCCCC